CCAGACCACTTACTAGCTTTGTTACCCTTCTTGAACACACTCCATCATCTCAGTGTCTTTCTTGGAGTGAGGGTCCCAACACTGAACACAGGATTTGAGTTGTGGCTTCAGCAGTGCCAAGTACAGGGGAATGATCAGTGCCCTGGTCCTGCTGGCCACACTGTTGCTGATACAGGCCAGGATGCCTTTGGCCTTCTTGGCCACCTGGGCACACTGCTGGCTCATGTTCCACCAGCTGTTGACCGGCACCCCTGGGGCATTTTCCTCTGGGCCTCTTTGCAACCACTCTTCCCCAAGCCTGTAGCACTGCATGGGGTTCTCGTGACCCAGGGGCAAGATCCAGCCCTTCAGCTTGTTGAACCTCACACAATTGGCCTTGGCCCATCAATCCAGGCTGTCCAGATCCCTCTGCAGAGCCTTCCTACCCTCCAGCAGTTAGTCCTGCCTATCTTGGCATGACCTGCAAACTGACTGAGGGCACCCTCAATCTCCTCACCCACATCATTAATAAAGATATTAAACAGGACCGGCCCCAGTACTGTGCCCTGGGAAGCATCACTTGTGACCAGCTGCCACATGGATTTAACTCCATTCACCACCACTCTCTAGGCTTGGCCATCCAGCCAGCTTTTTTACCCAATGAAAATTATGCCAGTCTAAGCCACGAGCAGCCAGTTTCTCTGGGAGAATACTGTGGGAAACAAGGTCAAAGGCTTTAGTAAAGTGTAAGTAGCAACACTCCCAGCCTTTCCCTCCTCTACTAAGTGGGTCACCTTGTCGTCAAAGGAGAGGAAGAAATGGAGGAAGCCCAGGGCTCTCATTACACAGGCAATAATCCTGCCAGGAGCTTTCTCAAGCAAGCAAAGGAAAAATGATGTGGATATGATTCTCCTAAGTTGTACAGTTGCCCAAATGGTTCTGAATGGTGTCAGTGACACTAGTCAGTCATTTATCAATTTCCCCCTGCTGCTTCTTCTCATGAAAGCTCTTGATTAGCTGCAGAGGTCCTAGGCTGGGCTGCCCACAGGCTCAGGAAGGTGATGCTGATCTGATGTATTCAGATGACACATAGAAGACTGATATAGATTTAACTTTTGCCTTACTTGAATCAAAAATTCTGTAGGAACTGATGATTTTTAAGTCTTTTCATTCAGTTTGCAAACTTTTCAAATCCAGAAGTTTCTGAATTCATTAGAACACTATTACTATGTAGTAGTAAAACAGCAGTAGCCTTTGTTATGTTTCCAGTTCAGTCACATTGCTATTAGAGAAAGTGGAATTTTAGACAATGATACAGGACCCATGTTTGTGTTATAAAATCATCTCTTAGCAGTTTCACTGAAATTGCATAAAATTATTTCCATTTTTCAAATTTGTTTAAAACTGAAAGCAATTTCCTTCTAGAGAAAAATCTTCTAATCCTCCTTAGAAGGATTTAAATGTAAAAATTTCTAGCAATGCAGAGTAGATCTGTGGGTGGATTTCATACCTGTCTTTTCAGTCTTGTAGCTGATACATGTTTCATATTATTGAGCAAGCCTGTGTTCGTAAAGGTATTCAGTGCAAAATATTCCCTCAACAAATAAAGACTCAAGGTTGACTAATCTTACTTATGTTGAGCTTTAAAGGTAACGTATTATTCCTGCATCTGAAGATGTTGACCAAGTGGACGTCAAGTAGAAAGCATGTTAACTGTATAGGGAAAGGAGAATATAATATCCCTTCTTTGATAACTGTCTTTATGCAAAGGAATCTAGTCCAGCCACCATTTGCCTGTGTGTCTTATTACCAAGAAAAGTCCAACTGCAATCAACAGAATGACTCCAGAAAGTTAAGCAAGTATATCAAAGCATGCAGGAACAGAATTCAGGAAAGATGCGTTAATTGGAAATCTGAGGAACACAGCTGGGAAGCTGTGCACTGAATTCCTGAGATAAGGGTCCAGTTTTTTAATTACCTAGGTGGAAAAGAACAAAGTTAAATTACTTTTAGGAAGTACTAAGAACATGTCTGATCTGCTATGTAATAAAAAACCAAAGAGATGTCAGTATTTACTAATTATTTGTGGACAATTAGCAGAAAAATCCCACATCTATTGATCATTAACTGAGCATTAAGCTTCCTCTTATGTTGGGGATGATTAATAAAAGTAAACTGGCTTTGGTTGTTGCTGTTATATAGTGAAAAGGACTGTTGCCCACAGTTAACTGGGTAAATATGGACATTTTTATGAACACCAGAAATTTGCAGATTGGCTGCATCATTTCAGTGGAGTTCCTTGCAAGTGTGAGGGCAATGCCTATGTTGACTGTGAAAAATAATCTTTCTGGAAGTGTGTGTAACCAGCTCAAGAAAACAAATTATTTTACTGTTTGTCTCTAAAATCTTTGGAAGATCTTCTGTAGTTGTGTAAATGAGTTAAGGCAGGCAATAGGCAATTTACAGTTTGTCCAATCTGCATATTTTGTGTAGATTGGTCCTTACCTAATCGTCCTTGTTTCGGATCTAATTGTCCTTGAAAGTATCATAAGCTGTTATATTTTCACACAAATGAACTGTTCAGGAAGAATTTTTCAAATGCCTTAGGTGCAGTTTTTATTCTATGTCAGATGTTTTCTGCAGACATGCTTTCAAGGCTTTGTCTACAGCAATTGTGTAGCTGTCGAAAGGAAACTAGCATTCCTGAGCTCTGTTTACACATCTCTTTTCCACTATTTCATTGTACTGATCCAGTGTAAGTCTGTTTTTATTTGGACATTATAGCTATGCAAATTGACAGTGCTTGTGCTTGTCCAGGAAAGACAAGAAAGTTGTCACAGTTCCCACAGTGAGAGCAGCTGTTGGTTGCATGAGATACTTGGTGTATCAGCTGTGGTTTCAAAGCAGAGATCTGGCTCAACAAGTGCTTAAAAGGCCGAAAGCCACACAATGTGTTCTTGTCAATTAGCACATTTACCTGCAATCTAGAGCATAGTGTATCCATATAACATTAAGACTTATAAAAGATGGTTTAGGAACCATTGTATCTCATCAGCTATACTAAGAAAGAATGGCTAATGCTGGAAATGTTCTTGTTTCCAAGTTAGAAAAGACAGTACAAAAAACTACTGAAAGCATATGGGTTTTCTGATTCTCTTAAGTGCAATAGAAACTGAGGAATGAACCCATTCAACATAATTTTTTTAATATTTTTTCTTATGTATTTCTACATTCTCTCCTGCTGAAGATGACTCTACCTGGCTTCAAGACTGGTGTTACCAGGACAGTTTAGGGGGGTTTGATCATAGGTCAGTTTTTATACAGCACCAAGTCTGCCAACAACAAATGGGATCCCACCTTCTCAAAGGATCTTAGCTCAGGAGTTAGCAGAGCTCATTGAGAGAGCTTTAAACTAGATTTGAAGGGGAGCAGGGACATAGCCAGGCTTGAGAGAGAAAAAATGTGGGAAGGAAAGAACTATGGCTACCACACTAGTAACAAAAGGAGGCTTAGGTGAGACTATCTCAATCAAGCACAAGCAGACACAACCACAAGATAGGACAATGGGGCATCCCTTTGCACTCCTACTGGGATATTGACACAATCAAATAGTTCTATAAAATACCCATACACAAATGCACACAGAATGGAGAACAAACAGGAGGAGCTAGAGATCTGTGTGCACTCACAGGGCTTTGATCTGATTGCAACAATGGAGGCATGGGATAGCTGACCTGACTGGAATGTTGTCATGTGGGGCTATGCACTGCTTAGGAGAGACAGACTGGGAAGGCAGTGGCCTCACTCACTGTGCCCCACTACATGAGGCAGCATTTGGGATGTGTCAAGGTCTGTCTTGGGGTGGATGATGAGCAAGTCCAGTGCTTACGGGTTAGGATAAAAAGGCAGAATAGTAAGGGTGACATTGCTGTGAGTGTTTGCTACAGGCAAACACTGATGAGGAGGAAGGGGCTGAGGCCTTCTATGGGCAGCTTGAAGCAGTTTGAAAGTCACAGGAATTGGTTCTTGTGGGGAACTTTAACTACCCTGACATCTGCTGGAGAAGAAATACAGCAAAGCACAAACAGCCCAGGAGGTTCATGTAAGACCTTGATGACAACTTCTTGTCATAGGTAGTGGAGGATCTCACAAGAAATGGTGTGCTGCTTGACACTACAACTTCAGGAGAGCTAACTTTAGCCTCTTGAGGGATCTTCTTGGAAGAATCCCATGGGAACAACTGTGGCCTTTGTTCCTGCCACAGTACAGTTGCCCCTGCCCAGCAGAGCTAGTGATCGATGTTGGCTGTCTTTCCATGCAGGTAAAGGCTTTTTGTTTCTTTTGGTGTTAAAAGGACCAGCACTTTTTTTGTGTTTGAGATGTCATGGGCTGGCTCCACAGGTAAACCAGATCAGAAGCTGACAGTAATGTTGATAACTTATTTTTCCTAGAAGAACAATGTCATTAGTTGTGTTTTAAGGAGCACAAATTTTATGCATAAAACATATTTCAGTTAAAGGGGTACTGCCAACTGACAAGAAAAATGTCCCTTTCTATTACCTATGTGTGTTACGAGCACTTAGATTACCAGAAGTGATAGGGGGTTTTTTTCCTCTATTTTAACCTGGTTGGTTTGCTTGACCTCTTGACAGTAACCCAGTGTTTCCTTTCAATATCCAGGTTGTTAATCATTTTGCCCTTTTGTTTTTGTGTGATCCTTTCATCTTAAAATTAAGAAATCGGTCTCACTAGGAAAATGTGATTGTAGTGATATGAAATCTAACCAGTGACTCAGGATGTAACAGGTTTTTTTAAGCAAGGTGTGCAATTGATACTGTATCTCAGGTTTTTGTATTAAATACTTAATCACAGCATGTAATTCTGTGACTTGTGTTTTAGTAGCCTAGCTTTGAAGCTCAGAATGAAAAAGTACATTGCTTTAGTGATAACTGTGTAGGTTCTCATCAAAATGAAATTTTCGTCTCATTATCCCATTGTTCTCCTTTTCTTTTTTCTCCAAGCTGCCTGTCTCGTCCTGGGTTGTATGATTTTTCCTGATGGCTGGGATTCAGATGAGGTAAAACGGATGTGTGGTGAAAAGACAGACAAGTACACGCTGGGGGCTTGTTCAGTCCGCTGGGCATATATCCTGGCAATTATTGGAATCTTGGATGCCCTGATCCTCTCATTTCTGGCATTTGTGCTTGGAAACAGACAAGACAGCTTGCTAGCAGAGGAGCTCAAGTTGGAAAACAAAGGTAGGACTGCTTTAGAAACACTATTGTTGGGTGGCCTTGAGGGCAATTGCTTAAAACCAATAATCAGTTTCATTTTATTTTATGCTTAAAAGTTGTCATGCTGGCTTACTTCCTACATTGCTGGGAAAGAATAAATGCAAGAGGCAAGAGGTAGTTTTGGTTTCCAGCCTCCAAAAATCTAAGAAAGCTTGAAATTGCCATAATTGCTGCACTATGCATGACTTAGCTTTTAGAGCTGTAGATGGGATGTTATTGTGTTACTCATTTTACAGTATTTCATTACCATTTCAGTTTCACTGTCTCCATCTTTTTCTGTACCTCATGCAAGATTTGTTCATTTGGTTCCTTTAGGATTGTGCATTGTAATACGAATGTCTGTGATATGGCATATTTGTTAGCACAGTACACAGTAAGTGGGGAGTGCTGGGGACTTGGCAATGAGATGTGTAATGGGACTGCCTGTAATGCAAAGCACCAGTGGACTAAGGATCAGAGTCAGGAATGAAGAAGACTCCTAGTTCCTGTTTAATTGTGTTGCTTTGAGCTCATTAGTCAGCTCATGGGAATCTGGGATGGTGTAGTAACTGAATATTCATGCAGTGCATTGGGGATAAAACACATTTCTAGATTAAGAACATGAAACTGTCTCGGACCAGTAGTTTTATCACGCAGTTGTGAGAAGAGAAATGTTTTGTGTGTGTGTGCAAGCTTGGCTTATTTCTGCAGGCCCTTCCCCTTGTGCTCCCCCAGTATCCCAGTTGAGTATCTGATGTGATAGATACCACAGAGGCCACGTCCCTGCCTTGTCTTTTTAATGGGCCTGTTGTCCCTGGAACTGTCTAATCCCTTCTAAACCTGCTGATATTGTCGGCTTCTCCAGCACTGTGTGGCTGAAGCTCACTGCTGACTGCTAAAGAAGTACTTTCCTTTATCTGTTTCAAATTGATCCCCTGCTAGTTTCACTGACTGTCTCCAAGTGCAGGATTCTGCATTCAACTCATCCACCACCTTTGTAATTTTGTAGGTTGCTTCTAATAATAGCAGAGATATTAGGAGCCTTTCACCACTGGATTGGAAATCAAAAGCTGTTTGGCAGCCTGTGTTATACAAAAATAGCTGGTCTCAGTCCTGCTCTAGAAGGACCATTATCTGTATACCTGACAGCACCAGCACAGAGGCCCCTGCTTGCTGGATTGCAGTCAGCACCCTCAGCCCAAAGATAAATGGACTTGAAGATTGAACTTCACACACTATTCCAGACCTGGGTGGAGCATACTAATGTTGTGTGTTTAAGAAAGAGTATGTCACCTGCAATTGCATGTGTACATCTGTTCTGCAGGTAAACTGAGGGCATCAGTTTCAAGGACTGTCCCTGTGGCCCTTCTGTAAGCATAATATTCATCTGCACTTGAAAATTACAATACTTATCAGAAGGGCATTCACAGCTATGCCACAAGTCCTTTTGGCATTGCCGTTGTGTCTGATTTGTCTACACCACACAGAGCTCATGTACACAACAACTACTTGTATCAAAGAAACTCATCTGTTTTGGCACCTTGTGAGAAAAAACAGCTTCTGGAGTCTCATCACCTCTCACATCGCTGGCACAGGGCCTTGCCAGAACATTTGGTCCACAGCATGTCAGAAAAAAAAAAATCATTCAGCAGCTCAATTTCCTTGGATTCAACACATACCACACCACTGGGTTCAAGACAAACCAGAACTCAACAGAAGGGGACCTACCCCACTTTTCCCTTCACAGTCAAGCCTAATGATCACCACTTTTTAAACTGTCTTTCAAATTAAAAGAAGAAGAGTGAACTTCGCTTCTGAAAAGGACATTCTCTCCCCTTTTCATGAAAAGCTTCTGCTAAGCAACAACAGGGCAAGTCTAAATCTCCTTGCAGCCCTCCAGCATTTCCTCATCTGCATATGTTGCTACCAGGCAGAGCTCCAGCCCTGAACACACAAGAGGGCTTTGACACTTACCCTATAAACTGTGTCCTCTTGTTCCCTTTCAGGTTAAGAGAACTACTCATCAGCAGCAGTCTGCATGCAGAGTAGCCATGCCTCTCTTGGAAATGGTCAGGGTGCTGAAGTACTGACACATGCAAATATCACTAGCATGCCTTCCAACACAGACAAGAAAACTAAGGATATAAGCAATACTCCCCTCAGCTTTCCAAGCTGCTCTTACAATGTGAAGTCAAAGTCCTCATAACAAGGAGCCATGAATATTAGACATGCTCCCATCCTCTCTTCCCCCCCATCTGCCTGAGATCTACCTTCAGGCTTTACGCTGTCTTCTGCTTCTGGATTAGCACATATGAATGAGGAACATCCCTTTTGCAAGGATGAATCCCTGTGTCCTGCTGGTGCCTTCCAGGCATAAAAGCTATGGCTGGATAGTCATGGCTGTCCATTGGGTGGGATCCCAGTGGCTCCTTCCTCTTCACGGTGATGTTGGCGTGGACATCCTGTAGACAGTGATAACTAAAGCGTCCCCTTAAGGGAAAGTCGTGGCTCCATCATGGCTTTACAGGAGAATGCATCTGGGGAGCATTCAACACTGTACCTGAGAGGAAACTCTACTTGCCCTATCAGCTCATCCTCTGCTGCTGGGACTTTGTCCTGTGCATGTAGATGACATTATGCAGTAGCTCAGTAGGGAGTAAAATACAAATTAGGTCTGAGAGTCACAACAGTGTTCATTTATGTGGAAAAAAAACTTCAAGGACAAGAAATTACTAGGCAATGATCAGACATCTGGGCAGTTGTTTTCTTAATCATGTAATAGTTCTGTCAGGAGCCTTTGATGATCAGCTCCCACAGGCTTATTAATGAGAGTCTGTGGTAGCTGAGCAAGTACCTGGCCCTGCAGCTGTTTCTGAGTGTTGGTGGCAAAGAAACAGTTAAACAACAGGATGGTAAAAATGCAAGAAGATGACTGAAAAAGTAAAAGCTGTGCTTTTCTGTAGACTCACCATGCTGAATTGTCCACCTGCTCTCTGCTTTTGATGCCCACAGTTCTGTATATTTGCCTAGGTTAATGAATGCTTATAAATAAGGAATTGGACTGTTAAAATTAGTCATGGGAGAAGATGGCTGTATTTTTACCATAAATGAAAGTTTGCTTTTTTCACTACATTATAAAAATAGTGCTTATTCATTTCTTAATTTCTTCGGTGTGAGAGTAAACTACCATGCAGCTTTCACATCTGAGAAATATAACTCAAGTTTGGCAGACTTTCTTCAGGTTATAGTCTATTTAAAGCAGTTTCCCAATCATGCAAATTTTACACAATAATCCATTACTTTTTCCTTTTGAAAAAAAAAAGTGTTTATAAAAAGACTTTCCCATTATCTTTATGCCATTAGCAAAAGTAGGGAAGACAACAGTATTGCGTGGTTTTCTTTAATTTATAGGAACTAATGGTTATGACTTAAAGGCCTGTATGTCATTAAACTAATGGCATTCAGGGTGATAACAAAAATAGTCAGAATTCATCTTAGCTTTAAGCTTCCTCAACACCATTTTGAGTCAGCCATCAACATCAGGCATAAACCTTGATGTGTTGTACAATTACATGATTTAACATTTTGAACTGTAATGTCTTAATGACATAAAAATAGAGTTCTGGCCAAAGGATGAGGACTCCAAATGAGAAGTTTCCGAAAGAAATTGTGAATGCAAGGCAGTTATGTTTATGGTAGAAAGTGTTAATATGGTCTGCATCATGAGTGGTAAATACAAGAGCATTCAGAAGACACTATTCTGTTAAGTAGTTTCAGTCAGAGCAGGTGGATGATGTACGTTGTGAAGAGTTGTGGTTTTTCTAATGGATAGAACAGCTTCACAAGCTGTTTATGTTTAACATTTGATTCATCTTTGGGGCCCATATGGTCACAGATATTTACAGTAAAAATTTCCAGGAATTACAAGCTTAGAGCTGAAATAGATAAAAGGTGCTAGGAGATAAAAGATTTGAGGGATTCATCTACTTTACAGTGATTGCAACTTACATGGACTCAGACTACACCACATCTCTCCCAACAGCCACACTGCAGCTCGCTCGTCACAGAGCTCGGTGCAGGATGCCCAACCCAGGACTTGCCAGTTGGTTGACATTTATACCTGAATTTCTCTCCAGGTTGTAGAAGGCTGACTCCATACATCTGACAGAGCTGCAGGACCTGTAGAGTAAACATGAAAAAGATAGAACCTAAGAACATGCTTTCTTGGTGACAAAGTAAAATTTAAAAAAATAGTATTGCATGGAGACTTGTGCACCTTTGGAGAGAGAATCATCTTCTATAAACAGGAATTGCCTACCCACATGTCACTGCTGCAACAGAAAACCTTCTGCAAAAGCCCTAGTTTCTGAAGCTGAGTGACAGGAGGCCAGCAGCTCACCTGTCCCATGGAGGGACAACATGACAGGGTGCACATCAGCTGTCATTCTTCAAAAGGAAAATAGCTCAGGTCACAAGACGTGCAAACCACTGCAAAATTGCAAAGCCCTGCTTATCAGCATGTAGTTCACGTGGCATGAATTCACAAACATTCAGGCCAACTTGTTCAAAATTAGGTAAATAACCATGAAAAACCAATTTAAGTTTTCCCGTATAGCTACAATGCATAAAAGAATTACCATCAGCCCCAGTAGTGATAAGGAGCACAAATCCAGGCAGAACAACATGTATACCCTTGTATACTCATGTTCTCTGTATGATATAATTATATAGTCCCTTCTTTGTGAAGATCTGTACCCATAACTCCTCATGAAATATAAAAAGTCAGTGTATGCATGTTTTCATTTCAGTTAGCATGTACATTACAAAAATAAAAATGTTGTTGAAAATAAAATGCAAGATTTCTGTTACTCTCTTCCCTTTTTTATACTGGTACTTCTCTTCAAGTCTCCTTCTATCCTTCCTTTCTAAAGAGTTCAAGAGTCACCCACTTCAAACTCTTGCTCCTTTGGTGTATGGCTCCATGT